ATAACGCCCCCACGGCTAAAAGGGCGAGCATGTTTGGTGTGAGGGGGATTGGAACCCGCGACCCTCAGATTGCGAGTCGAGTGCCCTAACCACCTGGCCAATGCCTTGGATAAGTTAGTTAATTATGTAATATATTTTATCATTTTTGGAGTCATTCCTGTTTCAGTTTATCGTGTTTTGATGAAACATAGTTTAATTGTTTATATATATATATTTCTCTTCTTAATTTCTGTTTTATTAATCAAGCTTTATTGACCGTGTTTCATAATTCTTAACCTTAAAGTGCTTTTGAGTATAAGAATAAAAGTCTGATAATTAATTTTAGCAAATAAATCTACATCTCATTTATGTTAATAGGAACATTTATAGAACATTGAAGAATTTTGGATTATTCGCTTTTAACTGGTAACGGGGCATGCTCAGACACTATCCTTGCCCAGGTTTTACTTGTAAACAATCTTTCTGATTCTTTATGCTACTGACAAAAGGAAGATATATTCTTACTGGCAAAGATACCTACGATAAATTCACAATACAGATGATATTAAGTTTTCTAGACGTATTAGATTTTTTTTACACTCCGTCATATGTTATGAAGTGAATGACCATCCGAAACAAGGTCCAGGGCCTTGCAGAGTATATTCATTCATGAGGAAAAGAAGATTAATATAAGAGGCGCGGGCTGGCCCTGTTGTTCAGCTCTGGATCTCAGAGCTAACGAACCGAATTTCAATCCATGAGATACTACAAAATATTCCCGGCAAATTAACAACTGAGTGCGCTGTAAGAGTGACGATAAATCCCTTAGCGTGAATGGTAGGATGCTGCTGACTGGTTGCCTTCCCTCTTGTCAGTTTAAAATTAGGGACTGCGGCAAATAGTCTTAGTAGCTTTGCCATAAATTTAAAATACAAATAAATTATTTAAAAAATATCCTCTTTTCTTACTATTATCAATTGCAATTGATGTTTTGCCTCATTTATATTTAAAAGTTTCTTAAAACTAACCAAATAGTCTTGAACTTTTTAACTTCGGTTACTATAGTAATAATGGTTGATGTAGACTAAATTTAGATTAAGTGTGACCATTTTGAGGTTTAATGCAAATCAAAGTGACTAAAAGTTAAATCCTTTAAAGATAAATTTTGTTTTAACAGGTTTAATTTAACAAAGTGAGATTGGGTATGCTTAGCAATGAATTAAAGCAACGCTTTCTTTTAATTGAACCACATTAACAAATGAATATCTGCAAAGTTCATAAATGGGTAAAAGCTGTGCCAGTTCAGTATGCACAAAACACCTGAAATACCATTTTGATTTATTAGCGTCGTATTATCACAGCATTTGTTAAGGAGAACAGCACTTTATTCTTCTCAATGTTATTCATAAAATATTATTATTAGTAGTAACTTAGTTATAAATATAAAAGTGTTCTCAGAAATATTAAAGATTAGTTTTATAAAAGCAAACAAGTCGTTTTTTAACGTAACAAAACTACCATATTGATAAACGTTTCATACACCTGTATTTTTCGTTTTGTGCAGTCTAATATAAACCTAGGTCATAAATCGAGCAGCTGCATGTGTTTTTTATGCTACTTCATTTGCATCCATTACTACAGTAGGTGAACTCAAAGTGTCAAACATTTATAAGCCTTTGAAGTACGAACGAAGGAGGGGACTGTTATGGTAGCAGCTTTTGGGCTACCGGGGTGTCTGTTTGTCAAGTAATTCGCCACAGGTTAAAACACGGCCATCCAAACAAGTCCCTGTAATACATAACCATCACCACTTAGTTTCTTCGCCTTGGGGCGTATAAGGCAGCACGAAAACCGAGCTTGCTACTGGTTTCTCTTTACATACTCGACTTCACAGTAGAAGCGAATCACTGAACCGAAGGAACCTGGACGATTGACGGCCTTAAAAACTCTACAGTTCCTTTTGAAAGTACAGTGACAACGAGAGAATAACTAAATGGAACACGCATATTAACAGCTTTAGAAAAAGAGCGGTTATTAAAATATCTGCTCAGAAAAACAGAATTGTTTCAATCAGGTTTCAGAATAACTTAGCCAAAACTTTTCAAAAAACTCCAAATCTTGAAAATGGATAAGGTAAATAAGGACGTTATGATAATTTACTGTGAGCACTGATAAGTAGTAAACTCCGAACTCTGAGTATCCTCTGATTTACACGACAGAACAGAATTCCACTTAGGACGTCAAGGTTAATGGACTTGACTATTCCAAAGCAGTCCACCCTAGTTTCGACCAGAGCTGTGCATCCAGTCTCTTCAGTGAAGTCAACCAGTGGTCACTCTTTAGGCCAACCTGTTACACCTTCTTCATCTCGAACGTTTACGAGAAGCAACGACAAGATGGTGCATTTTTCACAGACTATCGTTTCACCGAAGCATCCAAGTGACGTTTCGTCTAGAGCGTATGTTTCGCCAAATAGAACTTCTTCACCTGCATCGTCAGCGTTTCCACATTTAACGACGTCATCGATATTAACAGGTAGTGAATACTTTTACTGGAGAAGTTCGAAGCAACGATTTAAACGATATTATTTCTAAATCCATGGTTTTATTGTACTGTAATGGGGTGTATTTGTGTATATTTTTCAACTCTTTTGTCTCCAGGTATTTTGAAATTAACATCAGACATTAATTACAGGTATCTTTAGTTTAACTGTAAGAAATTTCGTAATGAAACTAGTTTAAATAATATATATATATACGTGTGTGTGTGTGTTTTATGCGGAAAGGTACTCCTTCCAACTTTTTTTGATGTAAGTAATATCATATAATTATCTTCATGATAAAAATAAAAAGCATTTGAAGATCTGTGTTGTTTAAAATAATCTGCTGTTTTTCTAACTATCAAGTCCTAACACGTATGATGCATAGGTAATGAATATTATAAGTTCAGGAGATAAACAATCTCCTTCCTCTGAGCGTTTGATATCAGTATTAACAAATTATAACTCTCTTGTACGGCTGTTTCCGTATAATATTTATAATCATTATTTTTATTATTAAATCATTGTTATGTTATTAATATTATTTTGTATGCACTTTGCAAGAGGTATAAGTATTTAAGCCTAAATTTTATTTTATTAAAATTATTGTTCGTATAAGAAATTCGTTTGTTGTCGAAGACACATTAGCGAAATGAAGTGTACGTTCAAAGAAATATTAATATATTATCGTTTGTAATCATACATAAGTACTACGTCAGTAAAATGTCATTTTTTATTGCGTATTCTTAACTTCAATACTTTAATTGAGTTAGACATGAAGCCAAAAATGAAATTTAGTTAATATATTATTTTTGCTCGATAAACGTATAAATAAATTACAACATACCAGTTGGGATGCTTACATGTTTCAACAAGTTGTAGCTGTCAATGTTGTCACAAAACATATATATTTAAATATTTCATGAAATTATTACATTTATAGCGTTTTTTATCATTATTTGTAAGCTTGTAAACTCATTTTGATTATAACTGTGAATGTTGCAACAACTTGTAGGTGTCTGATTGGTTTGACCTTAATGGTCAAACTTACTGACCTCTTTTTCTAACAGATGTTGAATTAACGATGAACATAAACAGAACAGAACATATCATAACTTTTAATTTGTTTTGTTTGTTTGTTTTTGAATTTCGCACAAACCAACAAGAAGGCTATTTTCGCTAGCCGTCCATAATTTAGCA